GATAGCTTGATCTCACCTTGTTATTCGATTTCATATTATGCCTGGGTCATAATTATCTGAACATTACAACATGGATGCGAGTAGCACCGCGGGGTCAAGAGCTAGTATATACATATACGTAAACACAGGTTCACTGTTGGAAATTTTTCAAAGGAAGGCTACTAAAAAGCACAACAACTGCGAAGCGACATGAAAAGTGACTGAAAAATCATAACCTAACAACACTAGAGTGCCACAGACAGAGAGGTACATAGTCTGATTAAAACATTCAAAATACTGGACAGGATATTATGATGCGCCTAATCTGTAAGATCTATACTTAATAAATAGCAAGAATCGTCAGAGGGAACATCAACTTAGACTCTGTAATAGGGCTGCCAAGCGGAATTCTATGAAGAATTTTATTACAAATCATGTTGTCACTAATAATATGATAATGGAATAAGCTACCGCAAAATGTGATTGATGCTCCCTCAGTAAACGCCTCCAAGAATAGATTGGATAAAATTACGAAACATTAAAATGCACGCGCATCAGCTTTTAGTACTGCTGCAAGTATGTGTATGCGCAGTAATTCATTAATGGGGCAATGTATAAGATATTACAACAAAGTCCCAGAAAATACAAGGTCTCTCCATTACCATGCTTAAATATTTTATTGAATAAAAACTGTATAAAATGGGTTATTATGATAGAAATGAACACATGATTGATAATAATTAATGACCCTTGGGAATGAGGTGGTTGAATCCCAGCTGTTTCTTAAGTAAGTTTTGTGAGTAGTTTGTACAGCCAGTCTTTTTATTAAATAATTTTACTAAGAAAAAAATGTGTGGTGTGTATTTATGTACGCACGTAGGAAGGAAGTTATACTTTTTAAGCGTAACAAAACAAAAATAACTAAAAATTATTTAAGAACCTGGTGACAATTAATTGACGGCTCCGTGGCGCAGTGGCTTAGCAATGAATTGCAGCGCTAATGGCCGCGGGTTCGATTCCTGCACAGAACAAGTATTTGTATGGCCTACAAATAATTGTTCTTGGTCTAGATGTTTGTACTTGTGAAATCTGTGTATGTAAACCGCTCCCGCGATACAGGAGAAAATCCTGGTGTGTAGGTAACGTTTTAAAAAAAATGTAATTTGTTTTTATTAACATTTTTAATCGTTATATTTACTCTTAATATTGTTTCATAAAACAAACATACGTCAATCACGCCTTTTGATGGATAAATTTAACCTCTTTTATCTTTATAAAGATATAAATAACTATATTAACGATTTTACATCATTATGCTGAGAATGCAAAACTGCGATACAATCTACACACTTAAGTTTGTTTTACAAAATTATTCCTCTCTATCCACATTTAATATATTGCAAACAATTTTTTTTCTTATGTGCTTGGAAAGAAAATCACTTTATGCTAATATACTTTGAATAATATGTTTGAATAATATATGTTGAATTATTTTAAATCCTATACTTTCTTTTGAGCATGTACATTTTTTAAATTAAAAAAAAAAACATACTAAGTAAGTAGCTACGGCGACCTTAATTAATTAACATCAAATACGAATTATGATCTCACGAAATGTATTTTCCGATGAATTGGATACATTTTGTTTCATTAATATGCCATTAGCATTATTAATATAATATTGCTAGTGAACCGCCCCGGCTTCGCACGGGTGACTTTTGGATCTTGATAAATGCGCCACATACCGCGTCCGATTGTGAATCTAAACCATCCACGGACGCCACTCAAAAACACAAAAAGATATACCTATAAGAGCTATAGCTTGAAAATGTGATTTTGTTTAAATTAACGCCTGCGCAACCCCCTTGCTGGTGGAATTTCATAAAATCCGTTCTAAGCTAACTTTTACTCGATGAAAGAAATATTCCTATCAAATTTCAAGTCTCTAGGCCTTATTGTTATATCGTGATGAGTCAGTACACGGTGGTGGAAATCTCTTATATATATACGAGTATATATTGGAGTTAGTAGATACTTACTATTTTATGATAATGACCGCCTCGTTAGTCTGGTGGTAATGGGGTCCCGGGTTTGAATCCCGGGTCGGGTCAAAAAAACTGTTATTGAGCTTTCCGTCAAGAAATTCTCAGTACGAGTAGTTGTCCGAAGTCAGGAAGTTGGCAGTATCTCACCCCAGTGCAGGGCCTCGCAAAGCACGCACACCCGTTGGTCCTGCGCCGGATATCTCTCTGGACGTGTCAGTTTACCGTCCCATAGGACTAGGAGAGTAAGGGAATAGAGAGTGCACCTGTGCTTGCGCATACACTTGGGCACTATATAACTGTCCTGCGCCGATGGCTAGTCTCCGTTGAGAATTCGGTTTTATTGAAATTCGGTCCGGAGGACATTATTATTATTTTATACCAAATTATCAACCAATAGTTTCAAATATTCTAATGGAATGTTACATCCTTTATATGTCCCTCACACATCATTACTGATAGGAGGTTAGGGAGAAATGAGTCTACACCACGTTTTCTTCCACCGCTAACACATAGGAAATTAACACTTTCGATCGGACATTTTATATAGGTACACGAAATATATGTAGTTTATCCTTAAAGTAAATGCAAATCCGTAAACCTACTATGGTTTACGGATTTGGGTTCCTAATGCCCGTGGATATGGAGTTTTCGAGCTTGGATTTTCTGCGAGCACCCATGTGTCTTAATTACTGGGTTAAGCCTTACTGAGTTTATCGTAAACGTATCATACATAATGTGGGATGGTCAGGGATAAGCCCATTTGCGTTACGGTTATTCCATCGTCAGAGTTGGCGTAATAATGCCTGACAAACGATATAATAAGATCATAATATACAAATATATAAACATATTTTAATTATCATCGGAATCTAGTTGAAATCTATACGGGGTCACTGTGAAAGTATGTTTAGATATTTAGTAAATTCTTAATATGGTAGCGCTATGCTGCCGTTAATTTATGGTTGCAGCACGAGTGAGTCGACCAGCGAAAAATGTTTCTTCTTGGTGTAGAAAACCGAAGATTCATTTTACTTGTAACGATGCATTCGCATGGGTGACAAAGCATTTGCGTTTTAATTATTAATCAAGGATAAGATGTAGATGTCCATGAGCTAGTTTGTCACCTGTATTTCGTACAAGAGTCAGTCAATTTGATAAACTAACGAATGAAAATCAATTTTATAATCTACTTCTTTTAAAGTCAGTGAGAACATCATCGCCATTCATATTCAATTTAATCTCAAAGTTAATAATTCGAAGTAATTTATAAGTCAGAGGTTAATAATATATCAGCGAAAATATTATTGCTATAGCTTCTTCACTGTTATGCTAAATCCGGTGGAAAAGGTAGACAGAACTTTTAAACTAAGATTTATAGTAAACTAACAGGTATACTTCCCACAGTTGGGTATATCTTTCTTTAATAGGCCCGTCAAAGTCCACAGCTGGACGTGGGACTTTTTGCTTTAATCGTCGTGCTTGGCAAGTGTAATGATGATCGCAGAGCCAGACTTCGCGTATCGCTGATGCGTGTCGTGCTGATCTTGGTATTTTATGTCCGAGGTAATTTTTTTAACGTTACCGCCACAGTAGGATATTCTCCTTTTCTTTGGGGGCAGTTTGCATGCATAAATTTACAACATCCAGACCCGGAACAATTACTTGCAGGTCATACAAATACTTGTTCCGTGCGGAATCGAACCAGCGGCTCTTAGCGGTGCAAGTCAATTGCTAAGCCACTGCGCCACTGAGTCAGATGATTATAACGCTATATATCGGAAGCCATAATTTTTTTCTGACATTTACCGTAACCGCGTCTTACAACACCCACTGGTAGAAATTTGATAATGGACTCCCTTACGTCTCCACCACAGAGGGGCATAAGTTGGCACATGTTTTTTTTATAGGATAGGGTGACAAACAAGCACACAGTCCACCTGATGGTAAGTGGTTGCTGTGACCCATAGACATCTACATTTATTCTCAGTTAAGAATTAAAATGCAGATGCGTCGGCACCCGTGAGGCATAAGATGGTGTCTCTTTGCCAGTAAAATGGGTCTCTGGTATCTGTTTCTATCTCTGGTTTATCTTCAGTAAAGAATAAAAAAAAAGCATATAGTCGAATTGTGTACCGTCTCCTATTTGGAAGTCGGCAGACAAAACACAGCAGTGGTTCCATATGATCCGTCCAATCCATCCATCCAATTTGATCAAGGTCAGACCAATAGTTTTTGAGTTATTCTTAATAACTTGTATTGAAGTCGTTTGTACAAAATTTTTAATTTTAAATTATATTTCCAGTCCGGAAGTAGTTTTAATTCCTCAGATAAGCAAGTTTCCTCACGATGTTGAACAATTTAAGTGACGCCGGCAGAAACGAACTCGTGTAATCCGCGTAGGTATTATAAAATATAAGGGAACAAATCAGCCTTTAAGATATTTAAAAACTCCTAAATTTTTTTGTACTGAGCACTACCGACACTATAAAACATTAAGCCTTCTTGTTATTAGTTATCATAGAACTGCTTCATGTATGTATTATCTGTTTAGAAAGACATGATTAATCAAATTTGAAGAATTTCTAATTATTACTGGTAACTGAATTTAATTATTCCAAGCCTTTAATTATATAGCACTCGCGGAAAAATATGTAGGTATCTAGATTTGCTTATTTTTTTTTGTTTATATACATTATAAATGCTAATTTTCTTTTTAAATAATTAACTGTTATACTATGTAAACAAAACACACACAATTTAAAATTTTCTAGTATTGATATGACTGAGAAAAACTGAACCTAATTTTTTATAGTCACTTTACACTCGAGTATTTTAACCTCAACAATGATTATAGCTTAAGAAAAAAAGAACAATTGGACCTTCATTATATATTCCTTTTAAGAACTACTCTTTTTAATCCTAGCCATTATTTATTTAAAAATATAGAAAACCTAAATTAAGAAAAGAATTAATTACTTTTTAAAGCCCACAGTTCCAACCGGTCCAAGCTGTCCAGAAAGAGGCGACTATCCCTCCGGCACTGCTCACTAGTTCCATTCATTGGGACCATGATCTTCGGGAACCTGTCCCAAAGTTGCAAAACGTTCGTTTTAACACTGTCATCGTAGCTCTCGTTTTTCGCGGCAATTTTTAATAATGTTCCATTAAAGATGCTGTCGGCTATGCTCTTCTCCGAGAGGGTAAGTTCGATGCACTCGCGAGCTGCGCAGGCGCCGACAAGCAGCAGTAGCAGGCATGCGCGCGCCGCCATGATAACATTCGCAATGATGCCGCGGACTGGCAAGCGGGTATGTAATATCTATCAACTTGCAGGCGTGCACTTGAACAATAACCCTAAGCTACTGACATACGCACATACAATTGAATTGGGAAACTCATCTTTATCTATTTACCTTCAAAGTTCTAATCGTTTCAAATTTATGCGCATAATCTGAATGGATTAACTTTGCGACCGTACACAAATTGTTTCGGTTGCGTTACATATTTAAATTTTAATTTAATTAATTTTCTGTCAATTGCAGTTCAAGTTCGATTTTATATTGGCAGCCCCGTATTGGTAAGCGCGGTGTAAGGCGGCCACCAATTAAATAGACTGACTATCTGCTAAGACATGCAGGTGGCTCAGGACCGTGCTTTCTGTCATTCATAGGCCTACCATATTAATCAGTCGACTTGTGATGGGCTGTTATGATGAGGATGATTTTTTTTTTGTTTATCCATGTTTTCTATTTGAAGTTGCTTATTTTTTGGAGTTTATCTGAGTATCGGAATTTAAATATTATGGGATTATAGGGCAACAAATGTGAGATTAATAATTAATTTCCTTAGTTATCCCTATTTTATAACTGATAATAATAATGTCCTCCAGATCGAATTTCGGCCACGGTGGCCAGTCTGGACGGAGACTAGTCATCGGTGCAGGACAGCATTATAGTGCCCAAGTGTATGCGCGAGCACAGGTGCACTCTCTATTCCCTCACTCTCATATTCCGATGGGACGGTAATTCGACGTGACCGGAGAGAGATCAGGCGTAGTAACAAAGTCTTTATGTGCTTTTTTTACTATTCCAAGCCAGCGTTTAACTACAATCCCACCTCATGGTAAGTGGTGATATAGCCTCAGTTGGTGAAGCGCACTGACTTAACAAAAGAGTATTCAGTCTAGCCTTGAAGAACATCGTAATCGCATTGAAAGACAGATGCTGGTAACTTATTCCACTCCTTTGCTGCACGCATGACAAACAATGAAACAAACCGTTTGGTTCCAATGCGTGGTAAGTCAACAACGAAAGGGTGGAGGCTGGCTAAAGGTCTGGTTGTCCGATAGTGAAAGGGAGAGGGAGGAATTAAATTATGCAATTCCTACGCACAGTCTCCGAAATGCATCCTGTAGAAAACCGAAAATCATACTACTTTGCGCCTGTGTTCGAGGCTGCTAAGATTGGTTTTAACCAGATTCGGGTTACCAATAAGCCTAAGAGGCACGCCTTTCCATTGAGAGACTAGCACTTCATATAAAGTAAGCAGCTGTCCCGGTGTACCACCGCACCTTTGCAAAGACTCGTAGCTTCCTTGCGGGTGCTTTAGCCTTGGACTCAATGAACTACCCAAAGTTCAGGTTTGAGGATATCTCAACCCCCAACAACTGAATGTGGTTGGTGTATTCCAGTAAAACATTTCAGACAGAAGGAGCCAAGGTGAGTCGGATCCTTTTTGCAGTGAGGAGACGCTTGTGTTTTGGAGGCGTTAAATTTCACAAATTGGCATTGCCCTTTTCGGGGACTGCCTGTATTGTGAGATTCACACGTTCTACCTACCGCGTGTACGACTACAAGACCAATGAAGCAATTTATAACTGATATATAGTAGTGTTGAGCGCCACTAGTAATGCCTGGCAAATGGCAACACTAGTTACAAAGTAGTAGTAAAGTGTCAATTTCGGTAATTCACTCGGCAGTTTTTTATCGTCTCGAACTCCAAGCTCATAACAGTAGTATAGACATTATACGAGTATAGTAGAAACTAGATACTTAGTTTAACGTTTACTTTTAATATTTATGTAAATTAAGAAATATTTGTTATTTTAACAACACCAAACGTAAAATTTATTGTTAGTCCCTAAAAATTAAAAGTATATGAGTATTATATCAAAACGGGTATTATAGACTCGAAGACGATTGCAAAAATAGAAAGCAACATCTGTGCAAATGAAAAGCAACATCAACTCAATGACGCTCCTGAACCCTCGAGGTTTCTCTGACATCGCCATAATACCATGAAAATAAATAAACAATATTATAGTAATTGTTGTTTTTTTATGTTCTCACCTTATATTGTATTGCATTCAATAATAATAATAATAATTTTTCAATATTATTAAATATTTATATAACATTTTATTCAGTATTTTCTTGAAAAAATAAATCAATCTTATGACAAAGTTTGGACTCCGCGAATATTCAATATCAAAGAATTTTCAATAAATTACTTTAAGTATGTAGGCAGAACAACTAATAATTTTGAATTGATAATCTCTCTGATATCCAAATAAAATGTTATAACAGTCATATTTTCAGAAAAATAACTAATGTATTTGTGGACGATATGAATGACAAGCTCGCGGAAACTGTCCATGCGGTCGGAGCTAATTTCTGCAAGACCCGCCGCAGAAGAACACAAAAACTCTCCGATCACACTCTCAATCTCATGGCTGTTAGACGGGAGATGAAGCTACATTCTTCAACAGATTTGACAGCATACAGGCAACTGAACAGACAGTTCTCCAAATGCATGCGGCGGGACTTACGCAACTTCAATACAGCTCGTATTGAAGAAGCGATCGAGCGGAACCAAGGCTCCAAAGTCTTTGCCAGAGATCTGTCTGCCAGAAAGAGCCAACTGTCAAAGCTGAAGACCGAATGTGGCAGCATCGTTTCCGGGACACCTGAGATTTTGAGTGAGATTGAGAGGTTCTATGGGCAGTTGTACACGTCATCGTAGAAGCCATATTATAATAGCCATAAGCAAGTGTGAGTAACGATCCAAGAGCGAGTCTTATCTGACATTATTCCGAAGATATACCGGACGTCAGTCTGAGCGAGATTAGAATGGCTCTCCAGCACCTTAAAAACGGCAAGATAGAATTCAGCGGAGCTTCTGAAAGCGGGTGGAAGACCGGTACTTGAAGTCCTTCAGAAGCTCTTTAATTCCGTCCTCCATGATGGCATTACTCCGGAGGCGTGGAGCAGAAGTGCGGTGGTCTTGTTCTTCAAGATAGGTGACAACGCTCTCTTGAAGAACTACAGACCGATTTCTCTTCTGAGCCGCGTCTACGTGCTTTTTTCGAGAGTCATTACGAATCGTCTCGCGCGCAGACTCGACGACTTCCAGCCTCCCGAACAAGCCTGTTTCCGAAAGGGCTTTAGCACCATAGACCACATACATACCCTTCGGCAAATTTTACAGAAGTCCGACGAGTACAATTTGCCACTATGTCTGGCGTATGTGGACTATGAGAAAGCCTTTGATTCCGTCGAAATTTGGGCGGTGCTGCAGTCCCTTCAGCGGCGCCAAGTTGACTGTCGATATATCGAAGTGCTGAAGTGTTTCTACGGTAGAGCTACGATGGCTATCCGAGTACAGAACCAGAGTACGAAACCTATCCCATTGCAGAGAGGTGTAAGACAGGGTGATGTTATATCCCTGAAACTCTTCACCGCTGCATTGGAAGACGTTTTCAAGCTTCTGGACTGGAAAGGATACGGTATTAACATCAATGGCGAGTACATCACTCACCTTCGATTTGCCGACGATATAGTCCTTATGGCAGAATCGCTAGAGGACCTAAGCACGATGCTCAATGACCTCAATAGTGTCTCCCAACTAAGTGTCTAAGATGAACATGGACAAAACAAAGATCATGTTTAATGTCCATGTCACACCTATGCCGGTAGTTGTTGGGAGCACTAAGCTCGAAGTTGTTGATGAGTATGTTTACTTGGGACAAATAGTCCAACTAGGTAAGTCCAACTTCGACCGAGAGGTAAATCGACGGATTCAACTCGGCTGGGCAGCGTTCGGGAAACTACGACACATCTTCTCGTCAGACATACCTCAAAATCTTAAAACGAAATTGTACAACAAGTGTGTGTTGCCAGTGATGACTTACGGATCTGAGACGTGGTCCTTCACTGCTGGCCGTATGAGGAAGCTCAAGGTCGTTCAGCGAGCTATGGAGAGGGCTATCCTCGGGGTTTCTCTGCGTGATAAACTTAGAAATGAGTATATCCGCAGTAGAACCAGAGTGACCGACATAGCCCAACGGATTAGTAAGCTGAAGTGGCAGTGGGCCGGCCATATAGCTCGAAGAACCGACAACCGATGGGGAAGAAAGGTTCTTGAGTGGCAGCCTCGTACCGGTAGGCGAAGTGTTGGGCGACCCCCCACGAGATGGAGTGACGACCTGGTAAGACGTGCAGGAAGTCGATGGATGCAGGTGGCTCCGGACCGTGCTTTGTGGCATTCCTTGGGAGAGGCCTATGTTCAGCAGTGGACTTATGAAAGGCTGTAATGATGATGATGATGAACTAATGTATATAGTTCTGAGGTTATATACGTCATTTAAATATGAACAAATTTAATAGGAGACGCTTACGTAGATAAAATAATTAATCGGGATTTACCGAAATATAAAATATCTTCGCCTCGATGTTATTGAAAATTGATTGTTTTATAACTTCATCATTCTTTGGTTATGTTATTTTTTTCATAGAATAAGGGTGACAAACGAGCACACAGTCCACATGATGGTAAGTGGATGGTGTGAACCATAGACATCTACATATATCCTCTCATTTCATTATTCTGTGAGAGCCTGGTCCTACCACGGTCAAGCCGACCCATTCGTGCTACAACTAATATAGCTGCAGTGTGGCTCTAGCCCGAGAATGTCAATATCATTAATTGATATTGGTAAATTAAAACAGAATATAGAAACGAAATAGATCGTTAATAATAAAGTGGTACAATATTATACTACTCTAACATAAAGATATAGAAGAACGACATTTCTATTTAATTATACAAACGTCTTTGGTCCACTAGAAAATACTATAAGCAGTTGTTAAACGCTTCAGTTCGATCGATTGGGATATTTGATTTAATAACGCCTTTTTAATTGTTTCGTCGAAAATTTCAAATAAATTGAACGTTTTGTTTGTCGAGTTTACTTTTATTAATATTGTTTTCTTT